AACAATATTATATGAGGACAATATTGACTAAGGCCATCAAAGCAACTGACAGGGAAGATGGGCCAACATTAACAGATTTTTGGAAGAACTATAAGATATGGAACGCAATAAACAATATTGGAGACTCGTGAGCTGAAATAAAAGAGTCGACAATGAAAGGTTCCTGGAAACAATTATGCCCACAAATAATGAGTGATTTTATAAATTTTGAAGAAATACCATAAACTATCACAGATGAAATAGTTAGCCTAATGAATGAACTAAACTTGGACGTCAACAATGAAGATGTTAATGAGTTGATTGAATCTCACTCAGTACCTCTGTCAAATGAATACTTTATTTTGAACATTTGTCAGGATGAATGAAGCCTTTATGCATCCTGACAAATTTTTGACTATTATGGAAGAATGTGATCCCAATGGAGAATGTATATCTCAAGTAAGTAGGGCGAATGAGAAATATCACAGCATGTTATAGAAATTTTTATCAAGAAAAGAAAAAAAAGAGGTGGTATTCAACTAACTCTTGACAAGTTTATAAAGAAAATGCCCAAAAGCACTTAAACACACCTTGTTAACTTCATTATGCATACGTATTAATAAATAAACACTTTAAAACAGTTTTTGGTGCATATTTTTTTACATCCCTCTAATTTCGAACATTCAACATTCACACACACTTTCAGGAATCAATTATGTGCAAAAGTCAAGGGCCACCTGTATGCCTTAATCATATTATTCCTTGTTGTGAAGAATGTGCTAGTGATAAACCAGATAATGCTTCAGACCATGATTGTGTGTGATAAATAGATAAAAATTGATGTTGCTAACAATCACATGTTTTTGTTCATACACATTCTGCTTTATAATTTTCAGTTTCTTTTAAATGTAAAAAACTATTAAACAGCAAAAATAAAATAAAAAATTTTATAATCTCAATCATTTGGTTACTTTTTAAAAACAGGCCTCTGCAACTTAAAAAAACAAGTGTTCTTGTTGTTTCTCAACCCTCTTACAAAGTTATATTAACACACTGAAGTGAAAGAAAGACAGCATGATTTCAAGATTGATAGACATATGTTTACAATAAATTTTATATATGTCTGTTAAACAGATGGATAAATATTTTAATTATAACAAAGGAGTTACATATACCCCTCATGACCACTAATGTTACATATAGGAACATGACCAGTGGAGGGTATGTTGTACTTACTTGGGTAATGATATGGAGAAAGATATGACAGGTGATAGAGGGGAAAACTCAGTGGCATCCACAGAATGGATCAAAAGTAATTTGGCTATTCAGCCCTTTTCATTGGAAGAGATAGGAAAGTCCTTAGAAATACGATAAAAAACCAGGGATGAGGGTATAAAAGGACAGGAAACTCATCAAAGCTACCTTTTTGGAGGCCTTGCACATTGACATAAAAATGCTATAGAGGTACGTTTTGTAAGAAACAGAGGAAAGGATCAAGACTAATTTACAAATGGTTAAAGAACCATCAAGTGAACTATATAACTTCATTGACTTAAAGGTAAATACAGAATGTTTCTTAGTTATAAATCAGTGTAATGTACAATATTTTAAAACATTTTCAGATTATAAGTGCTATATAATTTACAGTGTGTCTAACACTCAATGAAAAGATTCTAGATTTAATATAAAAACAATATGTGAAAAGTACAGAATTGATAAAACCAAGACGTATAGTACAATCTTCGGTCTAAAAAAGAAGCTGTCTGAAATCAATGGAAACAAAGTTCAATTAGCAGGTCAAAAATAGGAACACACTCCAAGCTATATGAAGATCTGAACAACAGTGTGCAGGAATGGTCCATAGCAATGAGAACAAAAAACATTCCACTGTCAGGACCTATTTTACAGAAAAAAGCTCTGGAGCCTGCTCATTAATAAGGTTTGACAGATTTTAAGGTTTCTACAAAATGGCAAGAAAAATTCAGAAACAGACATGGAACTCTTTTTAAAAATTTGTGTAGATGCTAGAGATATTGATCCTGAAATTATGACAACTTGGAAAAAATACTAAATTGTTTTTAGATATGATCTCCATGATTTGTACAATTGTAATGAGACAACACTATTTTAGAGAATTGTTACCAAGCAACATTGTGCTAAGACATGAAAAATGTTTGGGAGGAATGATGTCCAAAGAAAGACAGATACTCTTTCTATGTTGCAATATAAAGATGAATTTGAAAAACCATTAGTCACAGAAAAATTAAAATCACCCAGGTATTTTGGAAAAATTAATAAAAAAATGTCAGTGATATAGGAATTTAATGCAAATGCCTGGATGATAGCTACCACAATGGAAAACTGGCTACATAATTTCAATAGAAAAATATAAATTTTATTTTATTTCTGGATAATGTTACATTCGTCCTCACATAACAATTACAAATGTTAAATCGGTGTTTTTTCCCAACAACACTATATGAATTTTTCAGCCCTTAGATTAAGGGATCATTATTAAAGCTCATTATCAACAATTGATGATTCAGGCTGAAAGCAACACCCGAAATTTGGAAACATCTGCAATGTTTTCAGTGGCTATGTTCAGTGAACTGAACAGTTTCAGAACTGTTGAGTATTTTTCTGCTGAATGCCCTCTACAGTAGCACTATTTCAGAACATGTTTGGTATTTTAACGTCATATTTAGTAATGTCTTCCATTTATGCTACCTATTGCTACCTGAAACTGACCAATGATGGCTGCATTTTGTTCCAATGCATACGTCACTCATTGTTCAGCAGATGTAACTATGTAACAGCTACTGATTGAAAGACCTTTGTTCAGTTACAACTGTTGACTCTGCTGAATGCAACCAGTATTGGATACCACTGAAGAACTGATAGTATCACTCAAGCAGTAGAAAAATCTTGTTTAAAATGCTTTAAAAAGGCTTGATTGAAGAGCTTTTCAGTTTCTGAGGAAGACAAAGATCTTCAGCCCCAGCAGCAACTTCAAGTCATTGTAGAAGATGCAGAAGTGAACATAAATTCCAAAGATTGCATTCTTTTTGACCAAATAATCAGAATTGAAGAAAAGAGAAATATAACTTTTAAATAGTTTAAGTAAGAATTCCAACACAATGAAGACAACAATGAAGTAACAACAGAAGACAAAGAACAGGAAGGAGAGAATCTAATTCAGTCATTTTTTAGTTCTTGCATTAAAAATTGTAAAAGAGATTTTTCATTCAGAAAGGCTTGAAATATTTATCCAGTATATTATAAGTAATTGAGAAAACAAGATCTTAAAGCAAAAGTGGCTGAGAACAAAAATAGATGCATTCAATTACTTCATTTTCACTTCATAAATGTCTTATAGTACAGTACATGATTTAATTGAAATGAGAGTCATTATTTATTAAAATGCTAGTCTATGCTGAATTAAAATACATTCTTGCTTAACTTCTACCGATTCCATAGAGGAAATTAAACTATATGCTAACAAGATAAGGAGGTGTACACTTTTTATTTTCATCATTTGATTTGTTTAATATCAAATACAATTTATTTTCCTTAATACAGTCTTCTATTGTGTACATTAAAACTACTATAGTCAACAAAAGATGTGTATAAAATAGATTATTAATTTTCAGTTCAATAGTAAATAATGGCACAGAAATTTAGCTCTTACATTGATTGGACATAAAATGTTTATATCATCAGATTATCAATATCAATGATATCCTCATGTATAAATCTTAAGTTCCTTATGCTCCTCAATTTTATATTTTATTTACTTTTTTCTCAGTTTTATACTTAGATAAGAAAAATATATTATATGAACATGAATTTTACAAATGAATTTAAGAAAAAAAATTTTCCAAGTGTCTGAACTAACTTGTCATGATATTCACATTGTCAAGAACTACAAACTATAATAAAACGATAAATTTTCAACTTGAAAGTTAAAATAATATTAGTTAATTACTTTCTTAGTTTTCAACTAGTTATCATGTGTATATACTTTCATTATAATTTGCAGATATAGACAACATAAATGTCATGACAACTTAGTTTAAACACTTGAAAATATTTTTTCTTAAATTCAATTGTAGAATTTGTGTTCATATAATATATTTTCCTTATTTCTTTTCTATCATTTTTTCAACTTTGTTGTAATATGTTCATATTTAAATGTATGTATAGTTTTCTAATTTAATTCTAAGTTTATAACTAATATAAAAAATGTTTTTGATAATTTCATTATTATAAAATAAAATTAATTACTATTAAATTAAACAATAAAACTGGAAACAGGCTTAAAGATTATAAACAAAAATTACAATTTTAACAACAACAAAATAAAAAGTATATAGTATTTACTTTTGAAAAGTTTTGAATCTGCACAGACATTATTTCTCATTAAAATAATAATAATTTTGAATGAATATAGAATATATTAGAATGATACAATGGCAAATAATTTATCATCATATACTTCACCAAATTTAAATGAGGAAAATTATATTAAAATGTCAAAAGTTTTATTGTTTTTATATATTACTACACTGTACAGAGATAAATATAAACAACATATATTTTTGTCAATATCTATTCAAATTAGCAACAATTCATTTATAAAAACTTAACCTAATAACACATATAACTAAGTAAATAATTGTACTGTCCATTTCATAATTTAATATATTACACATTACAAAATTTATTTTTGTAAAACTGAAGGTTTATTTTGACATATATATGTTTCAGACATTGCTCATATTAATACTGAATATAGAAATTTATTTGAAAACATTGCTATAATCGGTTATATATGGAGTTTAAAAATTAATACGACGTCAACTTATCGCTACGATGACTTATTACTAAGGAAGTACTATTGTAATTGAGTATATATAATACTCAATTACAATAGCAATTTTAAATGTATTTTTTTCAATAGAATATATATTTATAATTTCATAGCATTTTACTATATGTTAATTGTGAGATGCTACACTTACCATTTATGCAGGAGATAGAATGTTGCTTGATGAGAAAAGAATGTCCTAGTTATATTTCTCCCTCATTTTTCAAGTACTGTAGAAAAGTCAAACCAGTTACTGTCGAGCTAAAGATATTCGTTCGGCGAAATCATTAAAGTTTCACTGGAATAATAATTATAATTTTATGAAGTTTATATCGATGTAGCATGCCCTTTTCGTTATCACAGAGTAAATCGCAAAATGATTAACAATCCGCAAATATTCAGATACGAAATAGCATGCTAACTCCTCCGACATGCGCATTAGAAGAATAGTGTTTTGGAATTGTTTCGAAATCCAATACATAGTCTTATGAGTAAATAGACTATTTTTATATCTATTATATACAAAACAGCTTAAAAAGTTAAAACGTATGTAACTTTAACAATGGCTTATATTAATTATGTTAAAATTTTAAAATAAAATCTGAATAGAATATTTTAAAATTATATTTCTTTTCCAACGTAATATTGGATGTGCGTTATAAAAGAGATTTTAAATACCACTCGGATGGAAAGAAAAATCATATTTTTCAGGTTTCGTTCAGGTTCGTGTATGTATTTTCATCTATAAATATTTATATTATTCTCTGACAGTGCTTTTATCAAAACTAAATGCTATTTTCACGAGTTTTATATTTTAAAAAGTGACTTAAATAAAAAAATATACAAGAGAAAAAGGGAGAATTTATTCAAAAATTGCTTATACTGTAAAATATTCGGCGACTTTGGATATCAGATCGCTTTTTGTGTAACTACCTGCAAGGAAGTTTCTAAGATTACGAGCTTGCTGCAGCGATCGTGTTTGTGTATTGGTAAATAAATATGTCGGTTGTCTTTATTTTTTGTGTATTCAGTGTAATGTATTGACCAAAATAAGTTATGCGGCCCACTGTGAAAAAAGTTTGGTGACCCTGGTTTAGATCGAAGAGCTTACATTGCTGTAAGAGAACAATAGACCAAGAAAAACTTTAATCTGGTCAATATGTCTTTGCTTTTACGTTAGCACATTTTCGGATGTCAGCTTACATGTGGACTACCTCTTTTTTTTTTCTCTTATTTCATAAAATACGGCTGGGTTTCGGGACTCAAAAATTGGGCTATAAGTAGCAGATTGAGATATTTGAAGGGTTCTAGGCTACTACTTTTGGGAGACTTACTACTTTTTGAGTCACTTTAGAAATAATTTTGGCTACAATTCGAGGAATTCTGCTTTATTTTTTTATAAAATCTATCTGCAACTTGTAAAGTTCTCATCGAACACGTGCTGTTACTTGCAATTTATTTATATTGTTATTATTAATTAACGAAAACAGCATTCTGTATGCGTAGCCGTATTCCATTTGCTTAAGTGTTGATTTTGAATAATTAAACTGGTAGAGTTCCTAATTGCTCGTTTAGTTTGTATATAGTTAATTGGGGCTTCCATATCCTCATCTATCTAATGGAGGATGGACGACAGTGGAAATTTATGGGTCTACAATTATTTCAAATTGCAGTCCAACCAGATCGCAACAGCAAATCTCGTTGGACTGCAATGCCTGAAGAAATGTTAATTATCTTAGGCTGCGTACACACTAGGCGTTTTTAAACGCGCGTTTAAAAACGCCTAGTGTGTACGCAGCCTTAATTGGATGTTTTGTGTTTTTTAAAGGACTTTTTTTTTACCTTTTGGCGGCATGAAGCCTAAAAAGGAAGGCCTGTCGCCATTAATGTGTATGTGTAGTCTGGAATGCAAAATAAATGGTGATTCCTCTTGGACAGACTTGTCTTTGATATATTTAATAATAATCCAACCATCGGACGGAAAAATTCAACAAAAAATACTGTATTTTTATTCAACATTTACCATCAACGCATGCTGAATGTCGACATTTGCCGGTGTAAGTGAGAAATACTGTAATGATATTTAGCAAATATTTCGTACATACACGAAACAACTGTGTGAATGCTGACATTCACCGGAGACTGTTGACATTCACCAGATAGCGGTCATTCACAGTAACATTTAAATATAATCAGTAAAAAAATATTTGGATGCAAATAAATGATTTCGTTATAACAATTCAAATTTAGATTTTAATATCTCTTTGGCCATCGGCCGTTGCGACCGATGTTACCGCTTCCCGGGACGTGGACCCAGAGGTTGAATTTTGGGAAGCGTGTTAGGGTTTTCCCCCTACTCTTTCCGCCCTGTGGGCACTAAGAGGGCCTCTTATAGCAGGCCCATTATGGGTTCGGCCAGGCCCACAATGGGGCGACTGGGTGGTTAGGGACGGGGCCCGACATATTCGAACGGACCACCCTTTGAAAAGTTCCTGGGAATTCGATCCCGGGTCCCCCAGAGCGGTAAGCTGCTACCTTGACCGCTCGGCCATCCGGCCTAGCGTGTTAGGGTTGTAAACGGTGTTGTTTATAATGCATGTGAATGGAATGGTTGGTGATTGGGTGCGACGAACATGTCGTTGTTTCTGTGCGTGGATGTGAATTACTAAACTAACGTAAGTACAACAAGAGAAAAAAAAAAAAATAGAAAACCTCTTGCCTTCTTATCCTACGTTAGTAAATTGAAACTAAAACCTTACATTTAAATGTAACTTCAGAAATAGCAATAGAAAATTAATTTATTTTATTAATTTAAGATAATAAAGGAATGATCCAAAATATTTAAATTCAATTGGGTCAAAATAATTTTACTACTAAACACAAATACTACAAAGAGCACTACATACAGTAGAGCGTCGTTTATCCGAAGGTCGGTTATCCGAAGGAATTCCAGTCGACAGATTTAAATTTTTGCCAGTGCTATGGCGCTGTAATCTTTGGCTATATCTTGGGCTACTCAAATATTTTACGTTTTTGATACTAAATTAACTTCTGAAGTATAATTTTTTATTGTTTTTATATTTTTCAATATATTTATTTTGTTTGTACAAAATAAAAAAANGAAATGAATTACTGAAAACTTTAAATAAATATATATAAGATAAATATATTAAACTTTGTCTATGGCTTTATTATAAACGACAATCACAACATTCCTGGTGCCCACCAGTGACCGAGCGGTCTTCGTTCCTGAATACTTGGAGTTCGGTCGTGGGTTCGCGCCTAGCTCGGACGGGCTGGCCACATGGAGGAAAAAGCTGATGTTGTATATGCGCCACGGTACGGAATAAATTAATGACATTAATGCTCACTCAGGGTCTAGAACGTTTGTGATTCACGTGAACGATTTTTAGAGTATGATAGAATGGTTTAGTGAGCTTAATGTGAACGTTTTGGATTGACCACGGATTACTCATGACTGGCTTAGGTAAAGGGAATTTATTAATTAAGGCGTCAACCTACCACTTTGAGAAATGACAACCCCCAGGAATTTTTCACGGGCAGTCTGTTCCGGATATGTCGGATCCAATCCCTCGCCACGCGGCTGCGCCCTTTGTGAGCCTGACTGAATCCACAACGGTTAATGAAAAAGGTTCTCGAACTGTTCACATGACAGAAAGAACCAAAAATAAAAAAATATGTCCAAATTAAAATTTATCGCATTTTCTGTTTAGCGTAGAACTTTATTCGCTTTTTTTTTAACCTTATAAAATTTACTGATAATCTTCCCTTATTTTAAAAGTAGAATCATCCAGGTACTTAACTATGTGTAAACAAGTTTCAATAATCGATATCTAGATAAAGAAGCCTATAGATAATATGATAAATAAGTGAGAATTCTGATCAATAAATGCCCATATAAACGGAATAAGAAGAAACGTTAAAAATTTCTATGTCGACCTTATCGGATTTAATTCAACCGAATTTGGAATCGCTGAAAATGATAGGAATATTTATTATTGAAGAAATTCATCCTGTTAAAAGAAAACTGCACGTAATATATAAAAGTTTTATTGTGTTATCATTATTGTGGTGTATATGTTTAATTACCATTCCTAATATTATTTCCAAGGATATGAGGTTGTTGCTATGTGATATACCAGACTTTTGGTTCTACGTTGATGCCAACTTCAGAAAAGGTTTAACAATAATAATGGCATATATCTTATCATGTTACTTAGTTTTAAATTCAAAATCAACTCGACAAATTTATAAGACAATGATATTATCAATGGAAAACATATTGACAGATCTAACAGAAAAAAATAGAAGAAAGTTAATTTCTGAACAAATTTCATTAAATGATAAATATTTTCTTTGTGTTAGTATAATAAATGCGTTGTTTTCCATCACAATTTCCATCATATCTACGATAATAAGACTTAATTATACGGAAACTTTAACACTTCATCAGCATTTTTGTTGTGTTTTTACAGTTTCAGTAGGGACAATTTTATGTAGTTTTGTATTGTACTTTTTAAATTTTCAATATTTATTAACGAGATTAAGCATTGTGGTGTTAAATCAATTTCATTCTAACCTCGAGAAAAAATTACTGAGGAAAGAAGAAATACGACTTCGTGATTTTTTGAAAATTATATCAGCTTCCTTCAACTTTATCTATTGGATTAATAAACTTTTGAAATCTTTGCATCTTTTGCAGATGTTATGTTTTTTAGGAATTCAATTCACGATTTTTTTTATTGCAGTAATTAATAACTTCAACAGTAATATTATATTTTCGTTGATAATTTTTGCATTTTTAGCTAACATCTCCTCCTTTGTTTACTCGACGAAAATTCCATTAGTTGTAAGTATGTTAGAGCATTTTTTAACGTTATAATCAATAATATAAAGAACTTGATTAATGCAAAAAACAGTATTAAATTTTATAACATTTCAATTTAATTAATATTAGTTATACAGTATTTAATTTTATTATAACTAATTATAGAATGTGCTGGTTTAATCGTAAATAAAAATAATGGAGTATGTTCACGGTGATCAAAAAATAATAGATTCATCACGCTGAATAGTCGCCCAACGGGTCCTAGTTCCGACTTTATGGATGTGGATGCTTTCTCTCGACCATTTCGGATTTCGGCATATATTGTTGGGCTGTACTATTATCCTGGCCGATGTCCCTAGAAAAGTTTTATTGTATTATCATTATCGTGGTGTATATGTTTAATTACCATTCCTAATATTATTCCCAAGGATATGAGGTTGTTGCTATGTGATATATCAGATTTTTGGTTCTACGTTAATGCCAACTTCAGAAAAGGTTTAACAATAATAATGGCATATATTTTATCATGTTACTTAGTTTTAAACTCAAAATCAACTCGTCAAATTTATAAGACAATGATATTATCAATGGAAAACATTGACAGATCTAACAGAAAAAAAA